CCACTGTACCGGTCGCCGATCGACGCCCGGCCGTATGCGACCAGTGCAGCTCCGTGGAGTGTCCGGTCGGGCAGCACTCTGCCGAGTGTGCCGAAAAGATGCGGAGACTCCGCGGACCGTCCTGCCGCGCTGCTCGGCGTTGGCGGGGCGACGGCTTTATTTATACTCTACCGTTTGTCCGACTGCGTCCACCGCGCGGCACCCCAGGCCTCGATGGCGCAGTAGGCAGCGCGTGAGTCTCATAATCTCAAGGTCGTGAGTTCGATCCTCACTCGGGGCAGAGTTTTGTTTGATGGCACAGAATCTCATATCTTCCTCTGACTTCAGAGCCGCTTGACTGTAAGCTGCGTGTAATCAACTTTAATCTCATAATGAATACGCAAGCAAACAAATGGAACTGTAAGATCAGCCTTATTCCTAGTATGATGCACTCAGCAGTAAACAGAGCTTTAGCTACCACGGTCATAAAGTAATAAAAAAATGGGCCAGGATTCCGCCAAGATGTGTGTTCTGATGCTACCGTAAAGTGGGGCTATTTGAGACAGTGGGGCTATTTGAGACGGTATTTAAAATCGCTATAAAATGAAGAGCGTTTGATTTTTATGTGATATTTTTGCTCAGGAAGGTGTGGAATCGAGCAGTAAATTCGCCTGAGCAAAAATTAAGCATAAATTTCAAACGGTTTTTATTTTATAACGATTTTAAATACTGTCTCAAATAGCCCCACTGTCTCAAATAGCCCCACCTTACGGTATTGTTTTTGCCTGTGTTTGAAGCTGGGCTCTTTGACACTAGACAGCCCACATTGTAGCAGACTAAGCTCGGCTACAGGCGCGGCAGTCTCCACTCAAAACCCCGTCTTAAATCAAATGTAAAAAAATCAAATGTTTACCTGTAATGAACAAGTCACTTGGCAGTTGGCACGCCGCACCAGCTGCCCGCCATCCTCCAAACTCGACCCTGAAGTATATCTTAAACTTCCCGGACAAAATGGTGAGTGTAGACTGTAGGTGGCTCGGTAGCAAATACGTTTGCATGAACTAAAATGTTGCAGGCTTTTCGACCTACATGTTTCGCTTATCACGGACGGCATCAGAGCCAGCATCAATGTCCTAAGGTCCGGTTTGGAGAGATGAGATGACAACTGCTAGCAGTCAACAGGGATCGTGCACGGCCACGGGATGGCAGCTGGTGCGGCGTGCCAGGTGACTTGTTCATTGCAGGTGCCTTTTTACATTTGACATTTGAGACGGAGTTTTGAGTGAAGACTGCCGCGCCTGTAGCCGATCTTACATAGTTAGTCTGCTAAAATGTGGGTTGCCTAAGAGTCCCCTCAAGACTCTGAATCCAACGATCTGAGCTCATAACTCGGCGTGACCTTTATTCTGACGCATTGTGTCACTGAACTGGAATGTTGGTGAATGCGCGATAAATGAGCGATAAATTCAGATAGATTACGCATCAAATTCAAATCAAAATAAACAAAATCGCGTAAGAGGCGCTAGACCCTAAGCAAACTCACCCATTTATTAGCACGTTGTTATGCTTTCAGCAACAGTCATCACACATGTCACATACCATATAAGCACTGGCGGATCCAGGGGGGGCCACGGGGGCCATGGCCCCCCCCCCAAAGGCCTAAAGTGGCCTGTTTGGCCCCCCCCCCAAAACGCCAGAAAAATTGCTAAGAAAATATACCTTGATGGAGGTTTTTAGCCACTTGGTGAAGTAAAGCTTTCCACAGCATAATATGAAAGCAATATAGTAGCAGTGAGGGTCAGTCAAAAGTTGCGCGAGCGGAGTCGACCTTAAAAAAAAGACTGTTGTTGGCACGTGTTTATGGCGCGGCAGCTGGTAGTTGGCGGTGTTTCGCGTGGTGTGGCATCACTGGCGGATCTGGGGGGGGGAGGGGGGGGGGGGCACGGGAGCCTGAGGTGCCCCTGACAGGCCCGTGGTGCCCTTGCTAGGCCTGTGGTGCCCCTGGACCCTGGCAGGCCTGTGGTACATACCTCTGGCGGGCCTAGGGTGCCCCTGCTAGGCTGCTGATGCCCCTGGGACCTGACAGGACTGTGGTGCCCCTGACAAGCCTAAAGTGCCCCCAACAGGCCCGTGATGCCCCCGACAGGCCCAAGGTGCCCCTGCGTGATGCCGTGATGCCTGCGAGGCCGGTGGTGCCCCCTGCGAGGCCGGTGGGGCCCCTGACAGGCCCATGGTGCCCCTGCTAGACCGGTGGTGCCCCTGGCAGGCCTGTGGTGCCCCTGCTAGGCCGCTGGTGCCCCTGGGCCCTGACAGGACTGTGGTGCCCCTGACAGGCCCAAGGTGCCCCTGCAAGGCCGGTGGTGCCCCTGTAAGGCCTGTGGTGTCCCTGACAGACCTGGGGTGCCCCTGACAGACCTGGGGTGCCCCTGACAAGCCTGTGGGGCCCCTCACAGGCCCGTGGTGCCCTTGCTAGGCCTGTGGTGCCCCTGGCGGGCTGGTGGTGCCCCTACTAGGCCGGTGGTGCCCCTGACAGGCCTGTGGTGCCCCCGGGCACCAAGGGGGTCATGACCCATGTGGCCCCCCTTGGATCTGCCACTGATGCATAATATATTGATTTGTAAAGGCGTTATGGCTTATGCAATATGCAATTGCAGGCACTTGGTATCCCTCACTTATCCCTCATTGGGGCTCTGGCGGGCTCCTGAGGGCCCACGTCTATCTCCGGGAGCCCATATAGACAGGCTCCTTTGGGTCCTTTCAGTACACTATAGCATAAGAGGTCTCCATGCGAGTCCTATACATACATCTGAGGGCGTACCCTGATGTCTGAGGTACCCAACTGCAGCTCCAATGGTCTCTTCTTACACTGGCGGATCCAGGGAGGGGGCATTTAGGGCCATGCCCCCTTCCCAGAGGCCTAAAGTGGCCCGTTTTCCCCCTCGCCCAAACGATAATGAAACATAGTTCAATCAGGGCGTGGCCCAGGAGCCGAGTTAGACAGGGCTGTTTTACCACCTCCCGGCCCGCAAAGGGACCCAAGCACTGACTCGAAGCGGGTTAAAGAGACCCTCCCACCTTCAAAAAAGTTAATAAATTGGCATGAAAGTGATGTCGCTAGGTTCAGAAAGGGCGAAAACGAATATCTACCAAATTTTATCGAAAAATATTCACCGGTTTTCAAGAGATTAGACTTTTATTTTTGTTTACTTTTTGGGATATCCGCTGCTGTTCCTAGCGACTTTATTTGAAAGTGCGGCATTTGTTGCGCGCAAAGCAGCCTATACCACCGCATGCTACCAAACGTTTTAGTAAAATATTAAAAAATCATTAGATCTCCGCTGACGTCACACATTCAGAGGGGTATCCAAAAGCATTAGCCCCTCTGAATCAAAATGCTGCAATTTTGAAATTCAATATTTCCGATTTAAGGCATTTCTCGATGTTGTGAGTGCGTGCCGAAACCGGTAATTGTGAGCCAGGGACCCCATTTTGGCTATCTCAGCTCAAATCTAATGTTAAGGTGGGAGGGTCCCTTTAACTGGTCGATAAAAACAATGGTAAGTGTTCACAAAGTAATATAAAGGCATGGGTCGGGTGGGTTACCATTTATATATTTTTCTTTTTAGTTAAAAAAATTCATAGTGTCAGGGCTGTGACGAAAAATAAGTGGCCTAAATCCGATGAGAAAACAGGATTTGGGGGTACCCTAGGTTTGGCTCCTGCATGAGTTGCCCCCCCCCCCCAAAACGCAAGCCTGGATCCGCCAGTGCATATAAGGTAGTTATTTCATCTGTTGCCTTCTTGAATAATGAACGCAATCATCGAAACCGTCATTAGCCCGCTGCCTAAATGTATCGTGAATGGTTTTAATGACCGCGGATAATGGAATGACGGTGAACCACGAATAGATGACAGGTTGGCAGTTATCAGACATCATACTTTGACGCACGTCGCTACTTAAGTGCCGCCTGACATAGTAACTTACATAATTTGCTTAGGAATTGGGAGGCCAATAACGTGTTTGTTTACTGGAGAGGGTGGGTCAAATTTGGTCAATACAGCTGCTAAGGGCACTTCGATTACGATACAGAGGGCAACATTGCAGCTCACAAAGTAACAAAAGCTACTAACTTATAAGAAATGGTAAAATTTTAGATAAATTACGTCGTTAACAATGCCATTGCACGCAATTTGCAGATCTCACCATAGGTCGGCTGATGACGCTATTTACGGTTGGCTATAAAACTCTTCGCCTGAGTCTTTTTACCTTGGATGCTCTCATCATTTTGACACCGTAAGCCAGTTAATTCTCCACTGTTTAGCTTCCAGGAGCCCATTTGCAGCTCAGCGCACAGCGCATTATGATAACATCACCCGGGGGCGCCATTCTCCCAACTCAACTCTCCCAACTCGGCAGGCTTCTCTCCCAACTCAACTCCAAGGATCCTATTCCGCACTTTGCCTGCAGTTTGTTCACAAACAGGAACATATCACCATAAACATGGGACACTTGATCGTATCTTTGTTTCTTTATTGGAATAGGATATTCATTCTATACATTTGCAAAACATTAGATAATAAAAGTGTACAACTGCAAAGGAGATAAATATGTGAACCGACTACAACAATCAACATACCATTCTTCATTTTCCTACGTCAATCAACTGGTCACTGTCGGTAGGCTTCTTAGGAATGGGCGTGATAAGCACTGACAGTAGACCTATGCGTAGTTATATGCCCGCTCCATGTTCCAACCTTCCCCACATTTTGATTGCAAGAGCATTTGAAAGCCTAAATAAACGCTAGACAATCTAGTCAATCTACATGAACCGCACAGTGTTATTAAACCGCGTTTCCAGTTTCAAGTTTCAACCAAAAGCAAACTGAAAACTGAGAACGGGCGCTCCAGAAAGCGTCGGCAGATATATAGCCGCGGGCAACGCTGGGTCGTCGGTGCTGGTTCTCGGTGTCGCCGCCAGAGGCGCTGTGTCCAGGACCGCCGTCGTCCGTTGGAGCAGCTCAGTGCGTGTCGGGCACGGTGGGGGCCATGTTGTGCGCAGATCTGTGCTGTCACTGAACACCTCGGTATGGTGGGTTGAACAGGATACAACATCAGGGAATCTCAAAGTAGTGCAAGAGCTAGTGACTAGTGCACAATACTAAAAAACAGCACTTTTCCAAGCATACATCAAGATGGTTAGATGATGTTTGCATTGTGATATAAAGAGCAGAAATTTCAGTAGCTAAGATTCAGGTCCAGTCGGAAAGTCTGAGCCCGGTGCAGATTGTGATGCCACTCTAGCAGTATGAGTGTCTGCTGCCGAATGGACGCCATGAAACTGGATTTTCCGACTTCTGGACAGTTCGGAGAGGGTAAGGAACGGAAATAGATTACGCCTTACAAGTTGGAACATATTACGTAGTCTTGAAGTTCAACCTGCTCATAGTCTCTATGTAATGTTAGCATTGTTTGTGTTTACTTGCATATGGTTTCTCGTGTAAGAGAGGTGAAATTTTGATTATGCAAAATGTGTTCATGAAATGTTGTCATGTTTACGGATTTTGAAGTCAAGGTACGTCGACTTTGATGACCAAGGTTGTCAGCTCTTCTTTGATATTGTACCTAATAATATTTAGTCGTTGCTCTGCAATTGTTTCATGTTATGTGAAGCTTCTGCTGGATAATGGACTGATCGAGTTAGTCGAAGGTTAGAGTGTGCCCTCATCTTGCTGGCGTTATGATCAAAAGTAGCCAGTTGATGTTAACCAAATTTTCCAAGTTAAAAGTGAAAATTAAGTAATTTATTTTTTCATAGTTTAACTCGAGAACACTTCTAACTCTAATCGTGAAACTTTAACTCAATAATCGTTCATCCTTCTATTGCCCTCTTTTTTATGTCGATGGGCTTTTTATTTCCGCGAATAAAATTGCACAACAACAAGCACACATAATACTCCAAAAGTGCCTCCCGTATTAACCCTCGCCAGGCGAGGGCCTTTTCCATAACACGGATGGCGAAGGGGGGGGGGGGTACGACCCCCCTCGCGATTGGCTCCTATGGCACTTAGAAACGCCAAATTTACAGAGTAGGTGGGTACATAGGAGATCTCGCTCCTGTGACCGTTTGGTGACCTTAAGTCAATATTTAGGGGGGTTTTAGGGGGTATGAGTGCAAAAATTTTGCTAAGACATGTCAAACGTTTTTCGCTTATAACTTTTTACCTAGTGAAGATAGAGCAAAAATAAAAGGACCAGTGAACTCAGGACGTCCGTGCGCATCGAATGATATATATTTTCTTTTTTACCAATTTAAATGAACTCTGGAATTCAGTTGCCGCTAAGCAAGTCCAATTTTCCCCTGACCTTGTACCGGTTTTTGTGACCTGGTGACCTGACCTGAAAAGACTGGGACTTCAAATTTTCAGGAAAGGTGCGAAAATGTTGCCCCAGAGGGTATGCCAAATTTGGCGGCGCTTCGCGCCGCCGTTTTTACGTTATTTGCGAAAAACCTTAGGGGGGTTGATGCCCCCCCTCGCCGGGCGAGGGTTAACCGTCTCCGTGGCCCATGTGACCCAGCCGCTATTCTAAATCACCAACACCTAACCTGCACCGGCACCGCTGCAGCACCGCCATATAGACACCACCATCACCATCATCTCACCACTGGCAGCACCACTGCAGCAATAACTGCCATAACCAGCAGCTGCCGTCGTACCTACCTGGCCGGCTGTGGCACCTGACCCCAGCCGGTTCGATACCTGACCCCAGCTGTCCACCAGACCAGACCAGACCAGACCAGACCAGACCTGACCAGACCAGACCAGACATTGACCATTGGAGGTGCTCGATCGGCACACCTCTCGCCATTTCTCCCAGCCGCCACCGACCCCGCTATCCCAAAACGGCGCACCGACCGCGGCCGATGGTCGACCCCCCCCCCTCCGAACGCTCCCGATCTGCATATTCGAGCCGAGCGATCGGGAGGGTAGCCGTAAACTGGCGTCGAATTGGTGGCCGAATAGCGCTGAGGCCGCCGACGGTCCCGACGATATGGTGACTGTTGGAAACTTGGAGTGTGCTGCGGTGACGGACATCTATTCGGGGGAGCGTCTGCGTCGTCAAGTTGTGTGGAATTGACGATCGAGCCGTCGCCATTTGCATGTGAGTAGGCAGATGAGTCAGAGATTGTTTCTGCCCGCAGGCATGGTGATGCGACAGAAGCCAGAGGTGCGGCTGGGCCGGGTCCAGAGACTCAAACGAAGAATCAGCTCCAGTTTCAGGCGACTCGGTAAGTGGTACTTTACGATACCTTACTTTATAAGTGATACGATACGATACATAGCTCGGTAAGTGATACGATGTGCCATGTGGTATATGACTCTAGCAGAAAAGTTTGAGGGATAAGACAAAAATTACTCGGTAAGTGACAGCTTGGTTATGATAACACGATAAACACAATATTACTTAGGCATAAATGATTGAATCAGCTATGCAACATTCCCAAGTGAACTCAGCTGATTATCCTCCAATACTGAGCTGATTATTGGATTTCACGACTGAGGTAAGCTTTGTTCGAAATCAGGCGCCATTTTGGGTTGTTAGACTCGGTTCTTCCACTAAACCATTAGCGACTAATCCTTGTTGGAAGCTGCTCGTCGTGCCTGCGGTTGTCTGGCTAATTCCGTTAGAGACTGATCGACAAGAGGTCTGGGAGAGCGGGCTATTTCTGCAGCTAGCCGAGCGTCTGAGCGCAGAGACACTTCCCCAGGTGATGTATAGGGAGAGCGAGCCGGCAGCCCTAAAGGCATGGGAATGGGTGGCAATGGGAGGCCACTGGGGACCCCAGTTCCGAGAATGGTACACCATTTGGCGCAGCTGGGGTGATGGAAAACTTGGAAAAGAAAAGAAAACATGGCGTGGTGTACATATAATTGGAACCTTATATGACGTCTTATTTCTGTGAACATGTCATGTGTTGTCAGCGAATTTTTGGGTCACTGATCATTCCAACAAGGAACGAAAACAAGAAATCCGTAACCAGTATTCAATGGACTTATTTACCCAAACTGAGTCAGAACGTCAACTTCAATTCCTATTGACCTTGTTCATGCCAAAACACGCCAATTCGTGCAGTACCCTATTAGCCAACCACTCTTGAGCAGGTGTATTTGTGGGGGGGGGGGGCTAAAGAGGGGGCACCCGGATTTGAACCGGGGACCTCTCGATCTGCAGTCGAATGCTCTACCACTGAGCTATACCCCCTGCGAATGTATCCTGAATGTCAAATGGTTTGTATAAATGCACTCTGTCAGATACGCCCGATAGCTCTATTACGTCATAGCACCTGTGACACCAGTCGATAAATGTCACCTGTGCTAAAGGTCACCGCAGGATCAGTGTAGACGGACTCGACAGGGCTGGCAGATTAAATGCCATATTGCTTGGTACAGAGATAGAGCTGTACAGTTGCTGCTTGCTAGCAACAGACACATAAAACTTGAAAGCTAAACGTACTTAGGATTACATGTGTCAGCATTTTAGGTGGCTAGCAGCGGCCAGCGGGCTTACCTTTGAAGGAAGCCTCACGCAATATAAGTGGTTAATGTTTGCGCACCCTTCCAGCTGTCTGTCGCGAGCTGATCGCAGCCTGAGTGACTTTGCTTTGCAATTGCAGCTGAACAACTCTGTAGAATAATTGTTAATGACCCTTTCATTTGTTCATATCAGTTCATTACCAATTATTCTACAATACCACAAAAAGATGTTCCTTGCGGAACACTCAACAACATATCTTCTGAACAACTCTGTTTTAGACTGAAGCGTCAATCGTCGCGGGGATAATGTTCTGTCGAGTTTCTTACATATATGTGGATGTTTTAGGCTTCAGAGTGAAGGTACTCAGGGAATGCTATTTTTAAGTTGGTGCGGTATTAATGAAAGGTAACTAACTAACCCAAATAATGCATCAGTTAAACCAGTGGAAGGTAAAAGTATTGATACGTTTTAAAGACAAAAGGCAAAAGCTGGAGAAAGAATGCAACTGCCCTGCAAACGGGTCATGCTCGGTCTCTCGGAAAAGCTGACGGAAATAATTGCCAAAACACCGTTCAATTCCTCAAAATTTGTGACAAAAATATATTTCAACGGTGTTTATGAATGCCTAGCCATAGAGCCTGCGTCAGGCTGATTTCGTGTCCAGTCTACATAGATTCATATTATCTGTGACATAACCTATCCCACTTTCAGTTATTTCATCACGCATGCGAAACAGATCATTAGTCAGGAGTGTAGTATGAACTGCACATTTTACCGTGTTCTCTTCCATCTATACCAGACCAAAACGCAGCTCTCTCGGACCCTTTCACATATCTTGTTTGGAATCATTACACGGGAGTCTCGCCGCCCTTCTCACTCCGTGGTAGGGTAGCATCATATGTTGCTCACCCGGGTCCTGGTTAAAATCCGGCGCAGCCGTCTGACAAAAGTGGTTCTCTAGCTACTACTTATAGCAGTAATGCAAACTTGCACCGACTTATTGTCGCTGATGCCAGGCCTGCATTGATAAATTCCCCCTTTTCTGCAACTCATTCTTCATCATTTTTTTCTGCAGGTGATTAATTCCGTTAGCTCATGAAGTATGAACACACTGTATGAAAGAAACTATTTAAGTTTAGTAAATGAAATTACAAAATTGTTATCGTATAAGTATGCGGTTGCAAAAGGCCGGATTACTTTTGCAAACTGTTTTATCGGTTACGTGATAATCCACGCCTCATGACCGTATTTTTCGTTGACGGAGTGTTCTGGTTTACCGCGCGCCTTTTGATGCATACCCGCTTATCATCCGATATATCAACCGTTCAGTCTCGGTCTGACGGCTTCTTCCGACAGCGGAATGAATGCCTTGAAAGCGAGCCAAGACGAGCTAGTACGCTCATCGACCGGCCTTCCGATAGTGGCCGCGCCAATATGACCCGACGAGACGGTAGCCGGCAGATAAAAGCTCGCAGCGCAGAATGTCGTACTCGTAAACCTTACGCCATGGCATGGGTCAATGTGATTCCTTTCTTCTCTGCAAACTGCGTTGGTCTTATCTTAGATTGGCGACGTCATGAGATGTGGTAGCTCTGAAAGGATGTAAATGAAATGCTAATGTAAATAAAGATGATCTCCAGCTGTAATGATCTAAGTTTTACGTGAGAAACTTAAATCCAGCGGTAAATCCACTTCTAAAATTGAAATGAAAATGTCATTCACTTTTGGCCTCTGCTCGCTTTTACAACTTCCGAAATCCCTCGCCTTGTAAGAATACAAAGTAGCCAAGTCACACCGAGGCTTGGATGTTTTTCTCTCAGAGCACAATCCCACCGAGGGCGGCACCCTGGTCTAGCTGCGACCTGGCCAGACTGCTAGGAGTCTGGGTCGATTGGACCGCCTCGATCACCGGCGACAAACAACTCGGTAGCTGCGTCCGAGCGGCCGACCGCCGGCGACGGTCGCCCGCGAGCGTGGCGTTGGTCCGCTCCGTAATCGGTCGTTACTGGCGCGCCTGGCGTTTGACCTGAAAGGGTCTGACGGGTCTGGTGGAGGGAGGGGAGGGGAAGGAAGGTGGTCTGTCTGTCGGATTCTGGACGCTGGGCGGGCGGAAGAGATGTGGACGAGAAGTGATAAACTCAAAACAGGAGAAGAGGCAAGATTTGTTTTTGGATTTGAACAGAAAAAAATAATGGCTGTCATCAAAGAAGCATTTGAAAAAGAAATAATTTCTCAAATTTCTGGTTGCTTTAGCAAAGAGTTATTTTGGTAGTAGCCTGATGCAAGTGCTTGTATGTGTTGAATGCAGCTACATCGACCACGCAATGCCAGAAATCATGACCGTTGAGGTGACCAGACTGTAACGGTCATTGGGTGCGGTTGTCTGGATCCAACACCGTATGCAATTAATTCAGAGGATTGGCAGATAGCCCTGAGTAGATAACCGCAGCTCAGCGGGCACATTGGCGGAGATTGGCTGCCATTATCAGCCGATAATTGGCTGATTTCGGTGATATATTATATGCTGGCTGGACGACCAGATCGCCTCATGATATCAATCACAAATTCTGTTATCGGAGGCTGCTGTAGCCGGGCGGACATTATTTCTTAACTGGCCGGCGACCTTCAAATATCACGATTTTTTCTCTCAACAGTACTAGATTAAAACGGTATTGAATTGATGCAGCAGTGAGCACTATCTTCAACTATCTTCAACACGTAAAATTACCCAACAGGAATACATGCCATGAATTCCAATGTTCACTGTATCTGAACCAAAGTAACCAGAAGATATCAGATGCATGCATGCCATTAAGTCCACTATCTTATAGACCATGGGTGTGGGAACCAGAGAGCTAGCGACCAACTGAACACTCCAGTGAGTATTCCAGACAGAAGAGGTAAGGAAAAAGAGAAAAAGAAAGAGAAAAGAAAAGGAAACGGAAAGAAAAGGTAGAGGGAAGTGAAATAGAGAGAGAGAGAGTGAGCAAGATAAAAAAATGAGAGCCAGAGAGAGGGAGAGAGAGAAAGATAGAGGAGAAAGAGAAGAGAGAGGAGAGAGAAAGAGAGAGAGAGAGAGAAAGAGAAAGAGAAAGAGAGAAAGAGAAAGAGAGAGAGAAAGAAAGAAAGAAAGAAAGAAAGAAAGAAAGAAAGAAAGAAAGAAAGAAAGAAAGAAAGAAAGAGAAAGAGAGAGAAGAGAGAGGTCAGAAAGGGTCAGGTGCGTCTGACCGGTTGGCCTTTAACCCGGTTCCCTTGGGGAGAGTCAGACGGTGGAAAGAGCCCACGAGCCCGCCTGGAATGGTGCTCCGGATACCAATTGGATGGTGCACGGGGCTCCGTTGAACGCCCACGTGTCGCTGATGAGATCTAAAACTTTCATAGGACGCCTAACTGACATAGCAGTTGGAGCGTGAATTGATGTGAATTAGATGTGAATACGAGGCTTCATAGCACTTCATAGCACAAGAAGCGCTGAAACTCGACTGCTCTAACTATGGGGAATAACCATGCTAACTATTCTAACTATCTAACTAGTGAATAACTGTGCTCTCGGTGACAGGCTTAGTTATTCATTTTTTAAATCAGGATGAGAACGACATTGGCCACAAATATTAAAATATAACATTTGGAATTTATTGTCATTTTTGTAGGGAAAACTGACCACAGAACCTATTAAAGCTATCCTTCGTTACATTTACGGTACAAAAATATCTGTGAATGTAGAAAAAAACGCATGTCATGTATGATGTATTCTGTCATCCAATCGGTCATTTCATAATGGCGTCATTAGTTCCCCAGGCCCTATCACAGAGGGCAGTCGCTATGGATGGGGGCGCCGGCCAGGATGACTGATGGCGTCATAATGACATCACACCGTCCGTTTCAGCGCTATCGAAGAGCACAGATGCGGTGGACGAGGGCGCTCAGCTGAGCGCTGATGACGTCACTGTCGGTTGTCTGCGGAGCGGCGGCTACTCGGAGGAGTTTCTGGACAGACTGGAGCCCAATGGAAACATTCCCAAACACGGCTCACTCTACAGAGGTAAGAAAGGCTTAGCCCGGCAGTTGCTGGGGTATTTCGCCACCCACCGTTTGCTGGGGGGGGGGGGGGGCGTTAAACGCCCCCAGCCGATAACTCGAGAACCAATAGGCGCAGCGAAACGCCGCACGAGGCGGCAAACGAAAGAACGCGACGAGACGCTTCAGATGAGTACTTTAAAGTTGAATTTTGAGGTCACAGGTCGGGTCAAGGTCAGGTTAAACATCTGAAATCGGGCTTTCAGTAGCATGGACTTCAGGACTTCGCAATGGACGCCTCTCGTCATAAACTCTGTCAAAACGGTGCACAATCCATCATATAAGGCCTACAAGAGTGTCAGCTCCATGTAGGGGTCAGTCAAGCATAGGTCAGGGTCAAGGTCAGGTCAACCGGGTAGGCACATTTCCCCGAAAATCAAAACTGATATTCGCAGCCTGTGACACATGTTTTATGGGTTATTTGGGGCGTAGAACACGATGGTGACATTCATTTTATCATATGTGTACGTGTTTGGCTCAAAAAGTTCAATTTAAGAAATGCAAGTATCATGGTCGTGAAGTAGTCACGTGAAATTGCCAATATTCAGTTCAAGATTTTGGAAAATGCGGAACGATAATCAATAATCGAAGATGGCCATTTGATTGTTCATGGTATTGGCAATCTAATGGCGTTTACGGCATGTCTGTATGTCTATTCTGTGATTTTATATGATTTTTTGAACATATGCCGTTTTTGGTCGAAAACTCAGAAATCATGACGTCACTAAAACCTCGATATCTCAAAAATTTCCGACCGATTTTTTTGACACTTTGTCACAATAAACTTCAATCAATTCCCTACAAGTACCCAAAATTTGGCGCGCCTGCGGCGCGCCGTTTCTATGCTATGGCCCGGCGAAAAAAGTGGGGGCTTTAAACGCCCCCCCCAGCAACTCGCGGGTTAAAATCCCACAGTTTATATAAATATGAAACGGCCGACTCGAGCCGAAAGGAAACTACATCGAACTACTTTCTTGACCCACGGCTCTGCGACACTTCTGTCTGTGTATGCGGCAGATACCTAATTTTCTAAAGAAAAAGTTATGTAATGTGCGTTGAAATAACGTCACAAATCGTGATTATTTCCGATTATTATGTTTCGCCTTCTACCAAAGTGACAAGTGTCTTACATGATCAGCTTGTGTAGATTATCAGATCTCACTTGTTTTGCCATTTTAGCCAAGCATATGTAGATGTATGCCTTCTATGTTGCTGGTTTTATCATTGTAAACCATAGATAACATGATTCATGTTATCTATGTTGTAAACAAAAACAGAACGCAATTTACCACGGAGCCCAAGGCCCATAAAAATCGTATCACTGAATCAAATCCGATGCTAAATTAAATCTTCCGCCCAACTCCATTGCGGTATCCAATACCACACCAGCCATTTCGACCAAGTTTTGTCCTGTTTGTGTCTCGCAGTATATCGGTCAGCAGACCCGTGAGATTTCTGTCCAATAATCTCAGCCACGGTTTCTTCGGTGCCTGTCTCCCTCCCTCTCCTCCCCTCTCTCCCTCTCTCTCTCTCTCTCTCTCTGGGGATCTGGCTGCCCGCCAGAGCGGCCAACCGTCACATATCACGCACAGGGGGCGTCGCAACATTCGCAGCTCCGCCCGGAAGAAAGTGATGAATCACAGGGGCGTGACGGGGCGTGGCGTGACGTCGCGTGTGTGACGTCGCGTGACGGGCGACGTTACGGATAGACGGAGCGTCAGGAGCACGGCTGTGGTATAAAGCATTACAATGGGCGGCAAAAACCGAACGTAGTCGAAATATGTATGATCGTTGTTAGAGAGTATGTGCACTCAAACATAATTTGATAAATACCGTTTTTACTCAAATGAACTAACGTTGTTGCTTCTCAACGATTGGACGAAAAATATCTGTTCTTTTCTTATGTTTTTTATGGATCCGATAGCGGGAAGTTAAAAGCCAGGCACGGAACAATAAATCGTATTTTTTATTTGTATACGTTTCGCCATAGCAGTAAACTAATTCGGTGAACTCTCTTTTTGTCGCTATCAAGATACGTCCCACCCCTATCTCTCTTTTGATATTTTCCTTAATTGCCCATTCGTCATTCCCTTACGTCAATATTTTTTTCCACATCATGTGCCCAGTCTTCTGTTTCCTTTTCCCACAGCTCATCTATGGGGCACTCGGGAACGCATCCCTTCCACACACAATGCCTGTCCATATGCACACAATTGGGGGGGGGGGGGGCATAGCGTTCGTCAGGAAGATATACAGTCTCTTCCTGTCTGTAATCGCCACCGTACTCTGTTGTCATGGCAACAGAGCGTAAAGTTTGGTCTGGTGAGGCATAGCAACCGTCTAGATTGGTAATGATAAGCAGCAACACATGGCAACAGCTCTTTGGATGAGGATCAGCGCAAGCGATGGATGTGGTATGTAGAAAGAAAGAAAGAGAGGAGAGAGTGAGAGAGAGAGAGAGAGAGAGAGAGAGAGAGAGAGAGAGAGAGAGAGAGAGAGAGAGAGAGAGAGAGAGAGAGAAAGAGCGAGAGAGAGAAGAGCGAGAGAGGGAGAGAGAGAGATTGAGATCGGGAGAGATAAAAATAAAGAACAGATGGAAATGACAAAAGTGTTTATTATTGAATAGAACTTTTAGTCACTTTTCTGCGCTCTATGTATAGCCGTTTTTTTTTTGTGCAGCCGTTTCATAACACAAAAGTCCTTATGCTGTGCCGCTCCAGCGCACGTATATACTAAGTGAAGAGGCGTCTAACGGCGTTGTTTGTCACAACTGAGACCTCGGGTAATTTGGCAAAGAACTTCGTTCAGTTTAACGTCCAACTTCATTAGCTTTGGTGCCTTCATCCTCGCGGCGCTGTTTCACTTTTGTGTTTGGTGGCTACTGTAGGAGCTATGTCAGGCCGTCAAAGCAATTTGTCAAATCAGGGATGCAAATGCACTTTATTGCTTTCTGAAAAGCTGACCATAGTCACGAAATAATGTAAGAGCTAGCATAAATTTGGGTTATCAGGAGCACGCAGCACTGTGTGCCGTTGAAATGTTCATGCATGTTAAGATGAACGACCCGGTGCCGTTTGATTTCTCTGGGTACACTGCCTTCCGAAGTGCAATAGTCTGGAAATACTGTCTGGGTCCCTGAGGGGCCAGTGTATCTTCAGTGCCGAGCGCGGCAAATGTCAATAGTCCCGTCATTGCATCCCGTCTGCATGGCAACGTCGAATAGCGAACATCTGCATAGTAAATACGTCTGGGATGTGATTATTTGCCCGACGTTGGCACGACTTCATTTTACTGATAGTTGCTTCAATATCTGTGAGCTATGATTAAAGTGTCTTATTCTTCCCTTTGTTGAAATGAGTTACACGCTTTCCATTTTCCGTCCAACTCCTGTGTTTTCCTAAATAGAGCAGCTTCAATTATTAAAAAACTGCGCTCTGAAAGGTTGTAGACCTACCACTCTTGCCCAGGAAAGCCCAGAAAAGATGGAACACTTGTATGGCAACCAAAAGTGCGTTGAGTGGCAAGGAGCGGGAGAAAAGAGTTCGGGCGGTGTTTGAATACGACTGGAAAGAAAGGAGAACAAAAAGTGCGGAACACAAGAAGAAGAAGAGGAGAAATGGGGCACTGCTAGAAGGGACAAATGCGGTTGAGGAGAGGAGCAGTCGCCAGTCACGTCATCTGATGCTGAGGAGAAACGAAGCACTTACTACTTATCATGGATGTATGGATGGATGCATCACTGAAGAGGAACGGGCACCACTTAAGAGGGACAGACACGACCAAGGAGGGACGGACACCAGTGAGGAAGGGGCAGGGCAGACACCACTGAGGAGGGACAGACATAGCCGAGTGTTCCCAGTCGCGCTGGATAATGCACGGTCTGTCGCGCCACGGAACGCGTCTGGTATCGATCACCTCACCACGGTACCTCTCGGCGGAAGAGCGATGGATACGGCCTCCACTGCCAGAGAACGAGGTTAAATGGGAAGTGGGAGGCTGATCTGGGACGTCTGGCAAGCGTGTTAATGAGGGTATATGAAACAAGCTGAAAGTGTAAGTGCAAAGCACAGAGCTTTAGCAAGAAATGTTGGCATGCAACTAAGGTATGCAGCTGCATTCCTCAGGATCATGTACATGTGATTAATGTGATGCTTTTAGCACAAATCCGTCAGGAAGCACTTCGATTGAAAGTTGAAACTGTTTTTGTATATTCAGCTCCCCCAAGAGCGCAGTTTTTCTGATTTCTGTGGACTCCCCAGGAAAATAAAGCTTCATCGTCTAGCAAATATGCCAACATATAGGCCAAGCACGCCGGCTGTTGGCACAGACAACGCCGATCCTAATGACGTGGTGTTTGTATGTGTGTGTGTCTGGTGGATCGGCACATATTGCCACTTAACGCGCTCGCTCGGCGGGGAAAGGAAAATGCCGATCACAGCATTGGCTGAGTGCCACGGTCAGCAGAGGCCAACTCACTGCGTTCACCCTAAATGGCGGTCATCAAGATGCTTTCAGAGATTGAAAATAAGAAACGAAACTAAAAACCAGTTCATTGGGTGACTCACTTCCGCGTTAATACACGGTGATTTGTACGCTTTGTGAATGGTAGCTATGTCTACGTGCAGTTTTCTCGTGACAAACTAACTTTATACTAAGGCGAGCCTTTATTTCCGTCGACATTTCCGTTTGACCTGCCTGGACGATCACGGCTTCGTTCGGAGTCAGAAGCGTCTACCGGACACCGGTAGCCAATTCAGAGAGCTATCATTACCTGTCCTGACCATTACGCCTCACCTCTGCTCCAGGGTGGGATCGACTGGTGGACCACGATGTCGTCAGTCGCCAGCTGTCCATCTCATCCGACAGCAAACTTCTTGACGATGACGTCAGAGAGGAGGCCAACGTCATCATGAGACCCAAGCGGCCTCCGAGACCCAAGTCAGAGGCCTACCTCTGCGAGGAAAGCAAAACTTCAAAACGATATTCAGCGTTTGGCGTAAGTTAGCGTAACATTTGCTTTCGCATTGGTACATGCGTTAGATAATTCCGCATTTGCATGTCTTTATTTACTTTATCCATGTACAATCCGCACCCAATTTCGGCAATCACTGCCTCGCTGCCGGCGTTATCCGTGGTATTTGCAGCGGAGTCTGTCGGTCATTCCACCACTCAGCGAGGTCCGGCGGCGGCTCAGAGCTGTCAGGGTCTCCCATCAGCCGCCCCCGCTACCCGACATTATACATGCATAACGGTGGAGCCCAGCTGATGGATTGGATGGGAGAAAACGCGCCTTGGGAACAGGGTTATGGGAGACATATACAACCTTGAAAAGACGAGTGAGGCAGCATAGTTCTTTTCCGTGGAAGACGTAAGTGTTTTGGGGGCTGTATTGCGATGGGATATTCCACCATTCTGTAGTTATGTGTTTTCCGGTAGGGGTGTACGATGTGGGCGCAAGTTGAACATTTTAGACTCCCCAGAATAATGGAAGACTCTCTGGAGATGAGTTGCCAGTTTTATGGCGCTCTCGTCATTGGTGACGGCTTTCAAGCGTTAACAACTTTCATTGATGAGTAGACCGAAAATAGCTGGAGCGAAAGAACATAAAACTACCGGATCGATGTTTCGCTGAGGTCGCTCAAACGACTTTTGCTTCCAGAATCCATTCCAGGCCACAAGCTGCTCTTTTTACTGTCGGCTATTAGTGCACCGCGGTCCCTACTGAAAACATCCGTGAGCCAGTTTAATCCGGAAATGGCCAGAAGAGCACCCACAGGTCAGCGTTCATTGACCTGGCCACCGGGCCGGTCGACGGAGGCTCACGTTGCACAGTAACGTGGCTGAGGGAGAGAGCAGGCATCGATCCGGGCGAACTCGCGCAATGGCGACCCGCCCGGTAAATGGCGGTCAGGGAGGTATATGACCGTCAGTCTACAGAGTTGTTAGTCCGAGCTGACCTTTGACCCCGCAAATGGAGGTCATCACACCACCGATTGATCGACCATCTATCTGCGCGGGATTGAGCTGATGGAAGTCGGAAATGACACACGTGAGGACAACGATATGACGCTCTAAATATAGACCTCACGGTGAAAGTCGTGCGCCTTCATTGGGATGTGTCATATTATATTTTTGGGCGCAGCTAACTGAACCTATATTTGCCGGCCGGATTCATGCGTACGTCGGGTCGTGAAATGTGTGTAAAGAATGCACTGGATTCCACATAGATGAAAGGCCCTTTTAAAAACGTTTTCGGACCGCAAAGAAAATTGTCTAGCTCAATAAGACACAACTGAGCAGCAACAGTTGAAAATAGAACAGAAAAAAATAATACCAACGCCATGACAGGAATAGCCACGAAGCACTCTTACCGCTCAGCACACAAAGGGACACATGCCTGTTTTGCCCGCATGAATTCCTGCCAGCTAACTCGATCAAATCGACCCGAACGGACCGCATTTCACCGTCATGATGCGGGCGTTTTTCAATGTCGATCGATGGCTCGTTTGAAGGCTGACCCACAGCTCCTCTAAAAGATGAACTTGAACTGCTCGTAAATTGTGAGCGACGTGGCTCACAAACAGGCATATTTTTCATCCATGCTGACGTGAAGAAATGAAAATTGTAGTCATCGCAAAAATGTGACGGAATATTGTAAACTCTCAACTGAAGACACGATTCCATGTGTGCCTGTTAAGCATCCATGGTTCTCCTTTGCAGGGCGATTCTCCTTTTGGTCGACAGGAGGCTTACTTGAAACTGAACCAGCTTGGAGAAGGCTCATACGCCACTGTCTTCAAGGGATACAGCAAGTGAGTTGAAAATATGTCCACATTTTTAACCCGCGCCCCAGTGGCGGTCTCAGCCAACTTCGCCCTAGTGAGGGGGGGCATATGTTACCACCCACCTCTAACTCAAAAACTAAGAGGGCTAGAAAGACGCGGTAAAAAGCAGCCGATAGCTCTCAATGCGTACGTTTGAAAGTATTTCAGTCATTTTTCACCTTAGAGCAATATTGGGGTCACCAGAGGTCATCAAAGGTCAAAATTTGCCAATTGTCATTATGTTTTTCAGAAAACATGCCGCTATCTCAGGAACTATGGTAGCTAGAAAAACGCATGAAAGAGCAATCGATAGCTTTTGAACTGTTCTTTTGAAAAAGTCATTATCAATATTGACCTCAGGTCAACGGTTTAGCCTCCAGAGGGCAAAAACTCCAAAAATAGCTGTTTTTACGAAAAGTGTTTTTCGACAATAACTTTCGACTACAAAAAGCCACGACATTTATAATGCCAGAATCGTGTTCCCCTCGGCGAGACGCGTGGAATGAACTATAATTTGACCTTGAAAGGTCAACTTGAAAATTTGACCTCAGGTCAAGGTCATGACCTGACCGGAAAAGGTCATGTTGCATATCAGTCGATGCGTCTTAATGAGACAAACACAATGAGACCATCCCCAGCGTTCTATCTCTTTCCAATCGCGAGTTATTGGCAAAAAACTGTTTGTAGCCTCAAATGACCTCGGATGACCTTTCTAGAGGCTATCAGCAAAAATGACACCTTGGTCATCACGAGTGGACTAAATCATTGTGATTCTGAAATATTTGGACTGTTCCTATGCGTACACACGGATCTAGAGGCATTTTCATTTTTCTCCATTGACTTGTAATGGAAAGGTCACGCCACTGACCTGACCTTAGGTCACGGATATAAAAAATCCGAGATATACAAATTGTAGGTGCCCATAACAGCATGCAATCCACGAAGTTTAAAACCTTTCTGACAAACACTGCAGGCTGGACATGATTGCAAACGTTTTTTAGGCTTGGTCAGTTAACTTGACCTGGTGACCTGACCTGACATGACCTGGGGTCAAAAATTTCACACATTGTCCAAAATTGATGTATCAAAAGCTACCCCAAGCGGCGCGGCGCTACGCGCCGCGGTTTTTTATTCACACGTGAAAAACGCGACAGGGTGGTAACATATGCCCCCCCCCCCCCACTGGGGCGAAGGTTAATTGATTCTGTCTAAAAACACAAACTCTTTATCAGCTTCTAACTCATCATACTTTTAGGTGAAACGCAATGTTGTCATGTACTTACCATTACTCAATACTCAGTAACTCGATAGTCAGACTGAATAGGAAGATTACACTATAGAAGATATGGGAATTGAAATATAGAAGAATATAGAGGATATAAATAGGCAGATGCCAGATACCTATACCAGGAAAATCAATGGCAAGGACGGAGAAGAAAAGCTTTTATGTCACACACACATGTCACATAACCTAAACCTAACCCTATACTGAAAACAAAAACAGTCAAGCGCGGCACTGCAGACCACACACGTTCCTGGGATGGTAGACTGTCCCGCCCGACACGTGGGTACTGCGGCACAGCCGTCGGCCGGTTGAACGGACGACAGAGCGTCTCGGGAGCTGGCGCTGTGCACGCTTATGCACGGCGTCTGTCGTCAGTTCGTCATTTCGCAGGTGTTGCCTTTCAAATACTGAAGTAGTTCTTACTTATGGCATATGAGCCCTTCCGGTACTAAAACATAGGTCGATACGAATATGTCAAAATGCTTTTCGGTTTTATTTTCACGTTCGTTCACCTTCAGACCGAAAAGGACGATACAACCGGGACATATTAGGCATTGCATTTCATTGCTTCCGTCATCTATATATCAATTGTAACTGCCTGAGCTGGCACAAGAAAAACAACTCATTTTCTCCTTGAAGTGAGGCATCGAATGAAAAGAAGAGCCCAGAAATGCCTAAGAGATACAGCACTGTCCCGAGTTTGAAGCTTTCGGTGTTGTTGGTGATGCTGCGCCTGCAGCCCTAAAGCATATGCCGTTCTATAGCAAAGCCCACGTTTGTTTTTAAAAAAAATCACAGAGGAGTACAGGATCCGACGGAATGATTGAGAAACCTTCACACCAGATTCACTTTCAGAATGAACTCCGACTATAAGCTGGCATTTTGGCATGTCTTCATTCCTCTTTCTGTCCCTTCCTCCGTCAGCCTGACTCAGCAGACGGTGGCGCTGAAGGAGATTCGTCTCCAGGAGGAGGAGGGAGCGCCCTTCACCGCTATCCGAGAGGCCAGTCTGCTCAAGGAGCTCAAACACGCCAACATTGTCACCCTGCACGACATCGTGCACGTCAGAAATGCGCTCACCTTTGTCTTCGAATATGTGGTGAGTGACTCGTTTATGGTAAGGATGCGTTGTGGTCACTGCTCCATGCTCGTGATACTTACGTATATATAATGTGATACTGTGTATGATTCATCAGTGGTATAAGTGATTTACGTCAATACTTATCAGTGGAAAGGGACCAAACATGAGTTTGCTCTGTTCTGAATCCAATAACACTACATCCATTTGAAAATATTATCGAGTACTTTTTCAGACATTATTTTTGGCCGATATAAAACTTTTGGAATCTGGCCGGCTCCCCTTACAGAGAGCCTATTCAAATATCTCCCGGCTGTTACAGCACACGGACCTGGCACAGTACTTGGACCGTCACCCGGGCGGTCTTCACGCCAAGAACGTACAACTGTTCCTGTACCAGTTGCTGCGCGGCCTCAGCTACTGCCACGCACGGCGCATCCTTCACCGGGACGTCAAGCCACAGAACCTGCTCATATCGCAGATCGGAGAGCTCAAGCTGGCCGACTTCGGTGAGAGAAGGAGGGAGAGGGAGAGGGAAACGTAAATGAGAGGGAATGTAAAGGAGAAAGGGGGAGGGAGAGAGGCAGAGAGAGAGAGAGAGAGAGGCAGAGAGAGAGAGAGAGGGAAAGAGAGAGAGAGAGAGAGAGAGAGAGAGAAAGAGAGAGGGGAAGAAAGGGAAATAGAGAGGGGACATTGGCAGAGTTGCATTTGCATAAATTGTACTTGAGGATTGTCCCGAAATTATCAGCATAGTGTTTCATAAATCCAAAAGCTCGTGTATCGTTGTGTGAGCGTCGCATCCATAGTGCGTGTCTTGTTTCAGGTCTGGCACGAGCCAAGTCGGTACCGAGTCATACCTACTCACATGAAGTTGTCACACTGTGGTACCGACCTCCAGACGTACTGCTAGGGTCCACAGGTATGGACTGATGTAATCAGTAATTAAATGATTTAATGTATTGAACTGGCATTTACTACGTAGCAATCCCTTTACATATCTGTCTGGCTCTGCTAGTGCGATAAAACTTGCTATTTATCAAGCAGGATAACACCTCCCTAAACTCACGAGATACTCCTGCGACAGAGTACACCACGTCTCTGGACATGTGGGGCGTCGGCTGCATCTTCATAGAGATGATCGCCGGCGTGCCCGCCTTCCCCGGCGTGCGCGACGTCTCCGACCAGCTGGACAAGATTTTCCGTGTGATGGGCACTCCGGACCCGCGCTCGTGGCCCGACCTGGAGACGCTGCCGCACTACCGACCGGAGAAGCTGAAGGAGCACCGAGCGCGCCGGCTTTCGGCCGTGTTCCCCAGACTGGGCGAGCTGCCGTACGCGGAACTGCTGGCAGTCAGAATGCTGCATGTGAGTGGAGGGAAGAGGGACTAGGTTGTGGGAAATAGATGCTGGATAAGATCAGATGAAGATTAAAGATCTACACTTACACACAGGCTATATTTATTGGTTTAGAAGTTAACTCTACAATGGTAAGGCTTGTTGCGCTCCCGTTGGCATTCATGTTTATTCCATGTGTATTTTATGTCCCTTTAAATGCACAGCTTCGCATTCTGTTGTTGATTCAATGAAAATTAGCATCACCCCACCTGGCGCTGTTAGGCAATGACGACGGTGATGATGACGATGACGATGTTGATGTGCGTTTCCAGCTGGTTCCGGAGCGGCGGATCACCGCAGAGCAGGCGCTGCGGCACTGCTACCTGGCCAGTCTTCCGCCCGGTCTAGCCGACCTCTCGCCCCGGCAGAGTGTCTTCTCTGTGCCGGGAGTGCGGCTACACGGCGAGCTGCGCCAGTTCGCGCCGGCGCCACTACCCAAGGCCGCCCACGAACGGCGCCTCAGGCACTAGCGGGTCGCCTGACCAGTGCGCCGTTTCGCCACCAGAGGCGTTGGTGTCTGCCAGAGGCGCGGCGAGGTTTAGCGAAAGGGGAGATCACGTGCCGTTTCCTACTGCAGGTTTTAAGTGACTGGAACTAAGTGGCGACGTACCGAGCGATAAAACTTGGCGAAGACATGTGAATATGTCCAAAGACTCATGCGAAGTTAAAAGCGAAAACAGCAGACTAGAGTGATCGAAAAGATAGTGAGATGAATTTTATATGGTGTGTTAGGTATATATGTGATCTCTTTATAGTTGCGACAACTCCAGTATATTAGTGAAAATGATGGTCATGCTTGTACATTTGTCTTATTTGTCCATTGTTGTTTGTTTGTCCGTTCTTCATGGCGAGGTGAAACCGTGAAATGAAAGTTTCTTTTTGTCATTATTGCCTTGTGAATGATACAGGCTTGTGAATCTGCATATACATTGAGACATCGCGTAAACCGTCGTTGACGCGAACCGTCGTTGACATCATATACCAGAACAATGTTTGTTTATGTCACAATGACACCCAACTATTTACTTTCGATTAGAAAGTATGTTCCTTTTATTGACTTGTGTCCGAAACATCTGTAAAATATGTACTATTGACTGTTCATCTGGGTCACTGTATTGATATACAATTATTTCACTGTTGCTACTTTATCGATTGTTATAGCTTCTAGCCTTGCCAGGGATGTGAACACATGATATGAGAGTGTGAGTTACGAGTGTGTATGCTTTTCAATCATCGTGCTATTTGCTAAAGACTGAAGTGTAGCTTACCTGTCTCGCACTGCCACAAACGCTCACTGCATCTCGAAAGAAATGAAACTCTTGTATGTATGCTCGAGAGGAAGTTGCACGAGTGGAATGTAGGTACTCGGAGTGCTTTATTGAATGAAAGAATTGAATGCATGTGAAATGTAGTGATTGTGTTTTACTCGCTGTTACCAAATGACAATAGAATGTCGGAACAGCCATTTGATGGCAAAAGTGTGTCTTTATCATGGATGGTCTTTATGATGACGTTGAAAATCCAAAAGCCTTTAAAATATTCGAAATCCTTTAAAAACCTTCCAAAAACAATAAACAAGCATATTGATGATGATGGCATGCAAAAATGGTACTATGAAGAGATGAACTATGAAAGCTTGCGCAGTATCCTGCAGTTTTGAACGCCCTCGTGTACCTAGATTAGCACACAAGTACCCAATCCTGACGCTTGGGAGCAAAATAATTGCGCGAACATGTCGCCTGTAATTAAATCAATCAACCTCGCCCGTTCAGTGACCATGCTTTTGGTGGGAAATTTTTAACTACATCCCAACTTGCCACGATGAAACTTGCTCAGTTTCAGCGACGTGTGCATGAGAGCGAACTTTAAAACAGTTCATCTCCGTACCAGAGCCATTTAACGGCGTGGGTCGTAGATCATGGTAAGTTGAACGGCTGCAGTGAACTTGAGACTTGCGCGTGGGCCGTGCTGGGTGCCTGCCGGAGTGACGTTAAGTGTCTGAGAAAGCGACATGGCAGAAACGGCATTATCTATTTATTTGTAACTGAAAGCCAGTTCACTTGCTCACGGTGCAAACTCTGGCAACAAGCGTCATTATTCACGGCATGTCATGTGGCGTCTTCAGCCACGGGTCTGGTGTAGCTCGTATGCACTATTCACTAAAGTAATCAGCATTCACTGTACTTGTCACACATTCTTATCGACTAAAGCAGTTCATGCCGTAAACACAGTTCTTGTATTTCCTCTCTATCTGATAGAATGCTGTGAAACGCTGCCAAACTTTAATCTTGTCGCTCAAATGCCCGGTGGGCGGTGAATGTCAAGTGACAACTGGTCAAATGTCAATGCTTGGCTGGTTTACCAGCCTAGCTGCACTTTACCAAATAACGTAATTAAATCGTTATTTGTCTGCACTAAACAGCAATGGTAACTGTAGCACTTTGATATACGCTAGTCAGGCACCATTAAAAGTTGCGAACAATGACGCCCTGCAGTATATTCTCATTACACTGAGCAGCGCCTATGTAGATTAGCCGTCTGACCCAGTCACCTTCTCCAGCATCCCACACCAACAGCAACCCTATCCAGGGCCGATTCCCCCGAGACCAGGACCGATCACGGCCATCCCGTGGTCCGACAGCGGCCATTTGGGCCTGAGTGGCTGGTGGGGCTGGTTTGTTGTGGGCTAGTTGTTACTGGGGCTGAAGAACAGATTTAGAGGTAGGACAGCCGATGCATTTTACTCAGAGCAACCAAACAGACAGACAAGTAGCCAAACAGATAGACAGCAAAAAAGACGCCTCAATTGAAATCGACACGCCTGCAAGTTCGATTCACGAATTTTGAAAGATGCCCTCAAATATACCACGGTTGGTAAGCTTCCTAAATCTCGAATTGAAACAGGCTAGGAACAAGGAAGTGAGGTGCAACTGTTATGTAGAGGTGATTGCAACGCTAATTTCTTAAGAATAGGTATTCAGCTGTAAAAAGCATTCATTCATCACGAGTCACATAAAACTCATGCCAAAGCACAGCACCATAGGGTAGTGGCCAATTGATTCTCCATTGCTGATTTCCATGCGTTTAGGTAGACAAACAAATTGACGGCAGCAGTTAGCTCAGCAATAAAAGCCCTCGGCATCCATCGCCGGCCTCCTTATCTGCCCGCTGCCGTCTCGTCGGGTCATATTGGCGCGGCCACTATCGGAGGGCCGGTCGATGAGCGTACTAGCTCGTCTTGGCTCGCTTTCAAGGCATTCATTCCGCTGTCGGAAGAGGTCACCAGAGCGAGACTGAACGGTTGATACATGTGTCCGTGAGGTAAGCAATAAGCATCTATTCATCAAATGATGTTACAACCTTGACCTGACGTTTGCTGTATTCAGCTGGTGTTGGCCTCAAACTGCATAGACCATATTCGAGCAAATTTTGCAGCAGAAAAAAAACATGATGCCATTAACACCCACCAAAAGGAGACGTTGGACGTAACACTAGGAAGTAGGTATCGAGTATTTCCTGCATTGCTAAAAAACTGTATTTGAGATGGTAATGTAATGACAGATTTTCGAATTGTCATGCTTTGAATGATTTCAAACCACATTTTGATGTTAACACGCGCACCGACGGGGGGGGCGGATGACCGCCCCCCCTGAGATCTCGAGAACGAAGCAAGATAGTGACAAGCGGTAAACGGCATCGGATATTTTCAGGTCAGGTCAAAGATGACGTCACAGGGGTCAAAAAAGTCAAAATGGCGGCGCTAGATATGGAGAGTTTTTCTCGAATAACTTTCGAATTAGTCAAGATAGGAGCAAACTAGGGGCATCATCGTGATCCTCTCGTCAATCCGCATCGAATGATATATATGTTGACCTCGAAAGGTCAAGGTCAACGGTTGACCTCAGGTCACGTGACCTCGAGGTCATCATGTATATCATTCGATGCATCTTGACGAGCTGAACACAATGAGACTATCCGCGCGGCTGTATCTTGTTCCTGTACGGAGTTATTGGCAAAAAACCTTTGGTGACCTTTGATGACGTCATATGACCTTACAGCTGCCCAACAGCAAAACTGACCTCAAGATAGTGAACGTTGATTGTATATGAAGTCATGTATGGTATATGGGGCCATTCCGACCCGTTTTAGTGGTAAAAACAGGGAGTTGATTTTTCACCCATTGACTTATAATGGGGAGGTCGAGAAATTGACCTGACCTTAGATCACCGATATCAAAATTCCGAGATAAGCAAATTGTAGCTTGTAATGACCTAATAACATCCTGCGACTTTCAAAGACCTCCGACATCTACTGTAGCTCTGGCACGGTGACAAAGTTGCAAAAAAGTGACTTGAGGCTGGGTCATTCAAAGTGACCTGGTGACCTGACCTTATAAGTTAGGAGGTTCAAATTTGCACACCATGTGTAAAATTGATGAGAGAATAGTCATACCAAATTTCGCGGTGCTACGTGCCGCGGTTTTCCCGCTATTTGCGAAAAACCTCAGGGGGGCGGATATCCGCCCCCCCCCCCAGTCGGTGCGCGTGTTAACCCGCGCCCCGTAGGGCTATCGGCGGACCCTACCACCCGTAGGGGGGGGGGGGCCGTTTCGGCCCCCCCTAAGATCTCGGAAATTTACCGGCCGATTTTCAAAATTCAAACGGTGTTCGATAGCCCCACCCGGGAACTACCTTGTGACCAAATTTCATTGACCTAGGTCAAACCGATGACGTCACAGGTCAGGTCAAAGGTCGGATTTTCACCATTGACAGGCATTTCAAGAAATGTGTTGTGAAATCGAGTAAATTGGTAATTTATTGAAGACCATCGATGGTACATTGTTCGTCAAACACATACTTTGCTATCTGAGGTCACTGATACCAGGTCAGGTCACAGCGAGGTCAGGTCACCGGGGTCACAATATTGAAGTGTCGTGTGATACATGTTTTATGGTTCATTTTACATGACAAATGCGATTATGTGGGTTAGGCAGCCTTTGGGGCCAGCCCAGGTCACGTTTTGGTGAAGGTCAGGTCAAGGTCAGGTCAAACTAGGTCAAATTTCAAAGTTGATATTTTTGCATAAAATGGGTATCAATTCGATGCAGCTCGTCACGGGGAGTCTAATGGTGGTCTTTGTTTTGCTCTACGAAGTCTAGAACTGCCAAAAATTGAGTTTGAAAATTTGACGTCATCATTTTTGAACAGTTTTTTCGCTATAACTTGGCCAAAAAACGAGGTATCGATCTGAAATTTGGTATGTAGATAGGAGACGGTAGGTACTATCACATATATTCCGGTTTTTTCGAACTTCAAAAAACTTTTTGGATTTTTTGGGTAATATATCCAAAAAAATGCTTTTTTGATTTTTGGGGGTCAAAACTCAAAAATGTCAAAAATCCGAGATAGCAGTTTTGTAGCCCTGTCAATTCTACACCTTTTATGTTTTGATCATTTTTCTGTATCTTCAAAGCTGTAGGCCTGACAGGTCTTCTCGCGAAGGTCTTTTTTCGGTCGAAAATGACAGAACATGACGTCATTCTGACGTCATTTGTGGCCAACCTATCATAGCCTCTGGAAAAATTTTTGTCACAATGTGTAAAATTGATGCCCGGAGGGGTCCTGAAAGTTTGGTGGCGATATCTCCAGCCGTTTAGGAGATATCGACGGAAAAGGACAGGGAGGGGCCGTTTCGGCCCCCCCCTACGGGGCGCGGGTTAAGAGCACTTTCAAAGTCCGATATATTGAGCCTCATCCTGTTGAAAAAGTTGCGGGATGTGTCATGTTTACCATGTGTTTCTTTTCATTTCTGACTAGCGCCTATAGTGTGGTTTGCACTTTGAAGTAGTGCTGTATGATATACTGTGCCGGAACACAACGGAGCCTTGCGGGACAGTCTACAGAGACCTGTGAGCTGCCGTTCGCTTTAGGGCTGCAGCTCATAGAACGGAGATGGTGAAGAAATGAAGACAGAAAGTAATACTGTATGATATACTGTGCCGGAACACAACGGAGCCTTGCGGGACAGTCTACAGAGACCTGTGAGCTGCCGCTCGCTTTAGGGCTACAGCTCATAGAACGGAGGTGGCAAAGAAACAAAGAAAGAAAGAGGGAGAGAGAGGTAAAAAGAGAGTGAGAGGGAGAGAGAGAGGGGGAGAGATAAGAGGAATATACAGAAATATCGTGATAAAGTGTACCTCCATTTATATTCCTACCAGGCCTCGATGGCGCAGTAGGCAGCGCGTGAGTCTCATAATCTCAAGGTCGTGAGTTCGATCCTCACTCGGGGCAGGATTTTGTTCACAGCGTTGTCGCACTAATATACATAAATGCTAACATCATCAACATACACAATGTCCATTTCAATTTCCTCTATAACGCAAAAAAAGACGGGTGAAGGTCAAAATTGCATATTAATACAGAGGAAGGAACAACTAAAGGCTAGGCGATGACTTTCTCCATTTTTATTTTTTACAGTT